TTCAAGGAGTGGGGAAATCAGGGTCGGTCTTTAGGGCTACTGATAGACTCCTTGCCGGCTGAGCACATGTGGAGCCATCTGTATGTAACAAAATTCACCAAAAACTACAGGGGACAGAATATAAATCCGGGGCGGTTGGGTTAATCGTAATTCTAATAAAAATTACAAAATTACATGGAAATTATTATTATTATTATTATTGTTATCATTATTATTATCATTATCATCGTCGTCGTCGTCGCCATTCTTATTAATTTCATCACTATCATCATTTTCATCACGGCACCAATATGATCATCACATCATTAGCATCTCTTTCTCTCTATCTACACACACACACACACACACACACACACACACACACACACACACACACACACACACACACACATATGTATGTATGCATATACAGTACTGATATAATTACCGAGACCAGCTATGGATATTGGATAAAAAAGATCCTGCCTTTTTTTTTTTTTTTTTTTTTTTTGCGTTGGATAGATTTTATTGTAGTATTTAGAATTTTACTAAATTAGCTTACAAAATGATAACAGGCAAAAAAACATTTAAAAACTCTGGAAGCTTTGCCAGTGCCCCCTCGTTCATCAAACTGTCACAACTGACATGTGAACCTTAATACTGTTCCCAGACTAGCTGTTTCCGATTTTATTTCTTATAATACATCTAGTTTCCGGTTTCGTTTCTTATAATACATGCCCTACACCACTTACTAAACCAAGCCCTTCTACTGTGCAAATTGAAGACTGCTAACTGCTAATTCAAGACTGCTAACTGAAGCATCATGGGTGGAGGAAAGCATGAGTTGGGCGGATGTTTCTGCTATTGAAGTTTACCAAAACGTCTTTAAGCCAACAAGAAACAGCCAAGAAAAGTGGTAAAGTGAAAAGAAAACTTGATAATTTGGAAAAACTATGAACTCAGTCGAAGAGGAAAGGAGTTAAACATGGTTAAAAAAGGTATCTCAAAGTCATCCAGGCAACTAGCTGATGAATGGAGGAGTTATGGCATCAAGTGTAAGCCCTCCACAGTCAGGGAAAAGTTCAATGAGATGGAGTACCATTTACACAGGCCAACTAAGGTACCAAGACTAACCGTAATGATGAAGAAGACGCGACTGGCCTGACCAAAGGCTCACAGGCATTGGACATCAGAGAATTGGGAACAGGTAAATCTCACTTAATCCTTCTTATGACTACGTGTTTATGTATCTAAAACATAATTTAGTGAAATACATATGCTTACATGGAAAATTATATGTTACAAAATATTTCATCTCGTGTTCAGATCAGATCAGAAAAAAGATCCCGATGGGGATGGAGTTCAAGAAATATTTATTTGAATATCTCGTAACTTTTATTTGTCAGGTTTGTCTCTCTGGAAAGTCTGTGGCAAAAATACTAATGACCTGAGGAAAATGTGCTAGCAGAACAAGCTTAGAGAAAGACTACACCGACTACCAGAGAACACAGTGGTCTGGTCGGATTCTCTGCCATGGTACTGGAAGATTAGACAGTGTTAGAGGTAATCTAAATCAAATTAGATATTGTGACATCACTGATAGACGTCTTCAGCCCCAACTTCCTGAGTGGTTCCCAGATAATGACTGCAGTTTCATGCATGATGGAGTTCCTTGCCACACAGCCAAAAGTTTTAAAACCCATTTGGATAATCATGGCATTAGAGTGTCTAACTGGCTTGGAAACAGTTCACATGAAAGACGAGATAAGTGAAATTGAATGTACTAACAAAGTTGAGCTAATTGAACAACTAGAAAAGGTATGGAACGAAGGGCCAGCCGGTACATTCGAAACATGTTCAGACTTGTTGCTGCTGAGATGAAGGCCAAGGCTGGCTATTCTGGTTTACTAATATCATTTCTTTAATAATGCACGCAAATGAAATTAGGAAATGTTACTTTCCTTTTGGGATACATATTCTACCAAAAACGGTTGAAACCCCCGGAGGTCTCAGTAATTATGTCAGTACTGTATATATGTGAGTATGTACACACACACACACACACACACACACACACACACACACACACACACACACACACACACACACACACACACACACACACACACAAATATATACATACACACATATATATATATTGCATATGTTTATAGATATATATGTATATGTACATATGGATATTTATATATGAATATGTATATATTTATACATATACATTTATATATATGCAGATACATTTATTCATTTACTTGTAATATATATATATATATATATATATATATATATATATATATATATATATATATATATATATATATATATTCCTTTGACCTCGCTCGACATTTCTCCTTTACCTTAGCCATCACGAGGGTGACCAAAGCCATCACCATCTTCACTATCGCCTTGCCCACTTTCGCCCTCACTATCTTCAGCGTTACGGCCACGAACTGCCACATCACCTTCGCGAGATTTGCCAGAACTTTCTCCATCTTGTGGCACT